CTCTCTCTCTCTCTCTCTCTCTCTCTCTCTCTCAATTTGTAATAAAATAAACCTGTTTTGTTTTGCAATGATTGCATAACCCTTTATATACTGTACATTATTTAATTATGAGCATAACTTAAGGCGTTATTAATCCGAGTTTATAAAGAATCTTTATAATTTTCTCAAATTTTGCTATAATTGTCAAAACTTATCAAATATTTAGGCAGCATACTTAAATATTCAACAATTTATTAAATGTCTCTATAATTATTCTATTGATGAGGATAATAACTGGACAAGCTTATTTAAGATATATTTAGATTAATTAAACTCTAATTATTAGAGCATTAGAAAATTATTAATGCAACAACATTAATAAGAAAAACAAAATAAATTTTTGAAATTAAATGTTGATGTAATTAACAATGATGTAATTTAATTATTAATTTTTATACATGTTATTTGCCTTTGTACGTTTATTTCATTTCATTTTCCGTTTGATAAACATAAAATTTTCTTGTATTGATAAATTAAAATGATTACGTTTTTAGTAATTTTAATTGACAAATGAATTATAATTATGATCATGATTATTACTAAATGAGTGCAGAGTGTACTGCACTTATTATATAAACAAATAATTTGTGTGTAAAATGAATTATAGTGTTGTTTAATTTGAAATGTTTTGCACAAATATTATTAAGTAATTTATAAACATTTAAATTTATTTGCATTGTGCATCATTTACAAAACTATGTGGTTAATTAAAAATATATTAATCACAATGCAAATAGTTTTAATTATAAAAAAGTAATTTTAACAGTATGAATACTAATTTAATATTATCAATTAAATCACAACGACAAAATTATATTTAGATTATCACATAGCCGAAGCAAATTATCATTTTAAAACTTTAAGGTTTCCAATGTTCAACCAAGGTTTCCTTATTGATTATGACAATTTGTATTCAACAACTGTATAAACTATTTTGAGTGACAATTTATAAATATATGTATTGTAACATTTAGTGCATTTAGTGTAACATTTAAATATTGTAAATAATAATTGTTTTGTTGTGGCGTAAATACATTAAATTTTACCATCATTAACCTGATGACTATTTTATTGAGTATATATTTAGTGCGATTGTACAGTATTAAAACAAAATTAACCAACTGTATATAAGTACCAGTTTTATGAAACAACATAGCATTCAGTGGTTGTGATAGATGTTATAGAAAGTTTAATTTAAACTAGTTAATAATTAATCTAGATTAAATAATAATGCCTGGTCAAAAGTTGCGGATCGGTATTATAGGCGGGGGTGCGTCGGGCGCCACGGCTTGTAAGGCGTGTCTGGAGGAGGGCTTTGAGCCCCTGGTGTTTGAGAAGAGCTCATATACGGGTGGTTTGTGGCGATACCACGACGAGGACATCGATGGCGTGGCGTCTGTCGCCAAGTCTACGATCATTAACTCCAGTAAAGAGATGTCCGCCTTCTCTGACTTCCCGCCGCCCAAAGAGTTCCCCAATTATATGCACAATACAAAGATGGTAATTATATTATTGTTTTTTATCTTGCTATTTTTAATGATCATTTTGTAACTACTAGACAAATTTATAAATTTACTAATTTTTTAATAATTTTTGGTTATAAATGGAAAGTTTTAAATGTTATTAATTACTATTTTCAGGTAAAATTTAATGTATTTACGCCACAACAAAACAATTATTATTTACAATATTTAAATGTTACACTAAATGCACTAAATGTTACAATACATATATTTATAAATTGTCACTCAAAATAGTTTATACAGTTGTTGAATACAAATTGTCATAATCAATAAGGAAACCTTGGTTGAACATTGGAAACCTTAAAGTTTTAAAATGATAATTTGCTTCGGCTATGTGATAATCTAAATATAATTTTGTCGTTGTGATTTAATTGATAATATTAAATTAGTATTCATACTGTTAAAATTACTTTTTTATAATTAAAACTATTTGCATTGTGATTAATATATTTTTAATTAACCACATAGTTTTGTAAATGATGCACAATGCAAATAAATTTAAATGTTTATAAATTACTTAATAATATTTGTGCAAAACATTTCAAATTAAACAACACTATAATTCATTTTACACACAAATTATTTGTTTATATAATAAGTGCAGTACACTCTGCACTCATTTAGTAATAATCATGATCATAATTATAATTCATTTGTCAATTAAAATTACTAAAAACGTAATCATTTTAATTTATCAATACAAGAAAATTTTATGTTTATCAAACGGAAAATGAAATGAAATAAACGTACAAAGGCAAATAACATGTATAAAAATTAATAATTAAATTACATCATTGTTAATTACATCAACATTTAATTTCAAAAATTTATTTTGTTTTTCTTATTAATGTTGTTGCATTAATAATTTTCTAATGCTCTAATAATTAGAGTTTAATTAATCTAAATATATCTTAAATAAGCTTGTCCAGTTATTATCCTCATCAATAGAATAATTATAGAGACATTTAATAAATTGTTGAATATTTAAGTATGCTGCCTAAATATTTGATAAGTTTTGACAATTATAGCAAAATTTGAGAAAATTATAAAGATTCTTTATAAACTCGGATTAATAACGCCTTAAGTTATGCTCATAATTAAATAATGTACAGTATATAAAGGGTTATGCAATCATTGCAAAACAAAACAGGTTTATTTTATTACAAATTNTATCTGATAATATTTTAAATACCAAAGTTATTGTTAAATAATTATATTTTTACAATAATTGTTTGAAATTTATATGTTATAATTGCAACCATATTTTAATTAATTAATTAAAAATAATTATATTAAAAATTATCCCATAAATAACATGAAAAATAATAATGTTTAAATAATAATTCCATGTTAATAAAACACATACATTACGCTTAAATACATTATCAGTGAAATGATATAAGTAACTATACATTATACAATTAAATAACAAATGAAATAATTATAATCATGTTAATTTTATTTATAAATCTCAGGTACAATATTATGATTTATACGGCAAAAAGTTTGATTTAAGGAATGCTTAAAGTTTTGTCATATTTAGCAACGGGGAGGTGAAGATTGACGGCTTGGTATATCACATGTAGTCACATGTGCCCATAGTTATAAACTAGCACCTATTTACTGGGCAGTTAGTGCACATCCACTCATATAAAAGGCCCGAACCGTACACTGATAAGCGGGTAGTGGTGATCGGGGTCGGCACCGGTATGTGTGTTTGTTTTTTACCACTATATTATTATAATTATGAATACTCTATCTCCCGGAGCGAGAGTACAGGTGCTCACGAGCAAAAAAATACAAAAAGTAAAATACTAGATAATATTACACGTACACCATATCATGAGTGGTGAAAGTAAAATAACCATTATTGTTTTTTGTGCGATTACAAAACGTACACTTTTATAATTTTTTAACAAGTTTCTTTTTTGTTTAATATTAAATTTTCATACAATATGTCCGCAAATAATAGCAAATACTCGTCCGATAACAACAAGTATTCAAATAACACTACAAATAATAATAATAATAATAATAAACAAAGTTTTGGCAAAACTTTCTCAGCGATGGATAACTCGAAGAATATAAAGACATTGAAAGGAAATAATGGCAACAAATGTAGTGATTGTGCGAAAGACGGAAAGTGTGGCAAAACTGCCGACAAGTATTGCACAAAATGGACCCCAAATTGGTAGCGCTATCGGCGAGAGACAGCACCGGGAGATAGAGTATTCATAATTATAATAATATAGTGGTAAAAAACAAAACAACACATACCGGTGCCGACCCCGATCACCACTACCCGCTTATCAGTGTACGGTTCGGGCCTTTTATATGAGTGGATGTGCACTAACTGCCCAGTAAATAGGTGCTAGTTTATAACTATGGGCACATGTGACTACATGTGATATACCAAGCCGTCAATCTTCACCTCCCCGTTGCTAAATATGACAAAACTTTAAGCATTCCTTAAATCAAACTTTTTGCCGTATAAATCATAATATTGTACCTGAGATTTATAAATAAAATTAACATGATTATAATTATTTCATTTGTTATTTAATTGTATAATGTATAGTTACTTATATCATTTCACTGATAATGTATTTAAGCGTAATGTATGTGTTTTATTAACATGGAATTATTATTTAAACATTATTATTTTTCATGTTATTTATGGGATAATTTTTAATATAATTATTTTTAATTAATTAATTAAAATATGGTTGCAATTATAACATATAAATTTCAAACAATTATTGTAAAAATATAATTATTTAACAATAACTTTGGTATTTAAAATATTATCAGATAAATAAATATACAGTACACGTTTCAAAGTCAACTAGCCACTTGACAAAATGTATCTCCGCATCAATTATCAAAGGTATTTCATAATTATTATCTAATTAATTAATTGGTTATCATAGAGATATTATTTCATGTATCAGAAAACATATTGTTACTAACTATAAATAGTATAAACTTTATATAAAATTTATGAAACGTTAACTATTTTATTTAACAAAGTACATTAACACATTTATAAACTTAATTTAGTAATCATAAATTCTATAATTTAAACATAATAAAACATTGTATAGTTATGGTAGTATTGTAATGTGCGCGACTTGTATACCATAATAAAATCATTGGTGGATACACAAGAATTTTAATATAAACTTGAACAAATGAATAATTTACAATATACTCTTTGATAATATAATTTGACAATATACCCAATGAAACCTTGCTCCTTCAAATTAGATAAGCAATAAGATTAATTATTTAACCTTAATCCTCATCAACATAATAGTTCTAACCTATTGGTTATTTACGCTTATCATGTTACTTTATCTAATCATTCAAAAAGTGAAACTGTATAAAATTACCATAACAATATATATTGTCAATGCATTAAATTAATTATAAAAGGCAAACATAATATTTAAAAAATTTAAATGTAGCAAGGTTGTTGTTCGCTACAAAACACAAATGTGCTGTTGTGGCAAAAGTCGGGCGCATAAACGGGGCGGTGGCGGACACGGCAAACATGGAAAGGCCAAGAAAAAGCGCAAGGTGCTACACAAATGCAAGGACTGTGGGCACCGGTACGCCACCAAAGATAGGCTACGCAAACACAGGGAGAAAAAGCACCACGGGCACCGGCGTCGGGACAACGATGATGATAATAACGATGATGAAATTGTTGACCAGCAGCCCATAAGTATCATCGCTGATGTATTTATGGTGGATCCTAACCAACAGACTGGGCAGTACTCAGTGGACGGCACCGGCTCTGCGTATGAGATGACTGTGGGAACCACTGGCGACATATTTACTAGTAATATAGGCGGACAACCTATGGCTCAGTTGGGCCTGAATAGCACCCCACAGGACGGCACCGATGAGGGCTGCAATTGTTGCGGCGGCGGCTGTGATGGCGACGAGTCCTGTTGTGAGACACTATGCGGTGCTTTGAGACACTGCCGGAGTTGTCCGTCAAACCCGTGCAGCTGTTGCTATAAGGGCTGCTGCTGTGGCAACGGCTGCTGTAATGATAGTAATAGTAATGATGGTAAAGACAGTAGTTGCTGTTGCGGCGGGAATGATGGCGGGAATGATGGCAGTAATGACACCGGGAAAGGGAACGGGATTTGCTGTTTTGATGGCTGTTGTGATGGGGGCTGTTGTGAGGGGGGCTGTTGTGAAGGGGGCTGTTGTGACAGCGGTTGCGACTGTAACTGCAGTGGCGGTGGCAGTGGTTGTGACTGCGAATGCAGCGACTGATGGGGAGGTTTAATTATAATCAATATATTAATAGCAATAATGTGCCCGGTAAAAGTTTGTTTTTATGTAAATTATTTGCATATTGTTATACCGTATTTAGTAATAGTAATACGAATATATACAAATATTATGCTATTTTTGCACACTTATTTAGTTCTCACTAAATAACAAAGTACATTTTAAATTATTCTAAATATATAATTACTGCGGGTTATAAAATCAACCCTACAATTATGATATTTATTTATACGGGCTTTGTTATTTTTTAAAAATGCAGCTTTATTATTGTTGAAAATATAAGTTTTTATTTAATGGACCATCACAAGTAATCAGCAATTATAATTAATATTAATTAATAGTAAAAATAATTAACTGTAACTGTTACTTGTTCAATGCTAACTAAAATTATTAAACAATTTGGATAAATTATTTTTACGATATAATATTTATAATACTTAAACATATTTAAAAAAAATTAATTACTATATTCTGATGTAGTCTTTACATAATGTTTAACTAAATTGTAATAATTTACATTTCAAATTATTGTAAATTTTGCAAATAAATTAATTTTAAACTAAACTTGTGAAACTAAATGCTTGTTTAAAATCTTTAAAAAATTATCTCGTTATGATAAAAATAATGATTAAGTAATCAGATTATAAATGAAGTGTGTATTATTTAATTAGCATGACATTTAATTAATTTTGTATTCTGAATTAAATTTATATATTTTATTGTACAGGGATAGGTTGAACAAGTACCATTATCAGTTAGTTATTTGATGTTTGATAAATTTGTGATAACTTTACATATACTGTATTACAGTATGTATGCGTTAATTATTAAAATGCAGTATAAGTTAAAATACAATTGAAACTAAAGTCTATAAACAAATTATTAAAAACAATTGTACTTTGTTTTAATTATTATTTGTTGCGAATTAAATAAACTGACAATTATTTTATATTCATAAAAATTGTGTACATATTCTTCACATAATCCGGTGATACAAATAACGGATCAGATGAGTAGTGACAGCAGTGACAGTAGTGACAGTAGTGACGAGTCAATCGCCGATGCGGTGCCTCAACCCAGGCCTCAACCCAAACCTGAACCCAAACCTGAACCCAAACCTGAGCCTAAACCTGAGCCTAAACCGGAACCCAAACCTCAACCCAGGCCTCAACCTAAACCTCAGCCCAAACCTGAACCACAACCTGATCCCAAACCTGAGCCAAAGAGTGAAAGCGATTCCGATGACAAGTCTGACAACAATTCTGACCATAACTTTGGCCACTCGTCCGATAGCGAGACGAGTTGGACAGACATACCTATTATCACCGCACAGGTAGAGACTGTGTTGCTATACGTGTGCTATATTTGCGACAAACGGTGCGTTAATACAGATGAGCTCCGGGAGCATCACGAAAATGTTCACCCGGCGTGCAATCATGGGCTAAAACTTATTGACAAACTCGTTGAAGCTGTCGACAAAGTGGACATTGATCTACATAATAAATTAAAAAACATGGGGGTCAATCTCAAGAATATGGGCGATACTATTGGTAATAATATTGCGCATAAGTTGGCTAAAGCGATGGACAAAGCGGATCACCTAAATAATAAACTTAATCACATTGGACACAATCTAAATAAACTCGATAACATCGGGCATATTCTAGATAAACTTGATAAAATCGGGCCCAATCTAGATAAACTCAATAACATCGGACACAATCTAGATAAAATGGGCAACATTATAGGACCAGCTGGAGTGGATATAACAATTGACCCTGTTCAGACCGTGGAACAGCTTCAGCCAATCGCAGATCGCAATCGTAAGCGTTGGTGTTGTGGTGACTTTTTCAGCGAGTGTCTGGGCCTATGTTGTTGTTGTTGCATAAAAATATGTTGCCCAAATCGAGATGATGGTAAACGGTAATGATTGGCATATCAAGTATGATTTGGGTAGTAATTAATGCGTTTGTTGCTGAAGATTCATCATTGTAATGGCTAGTGACAGGAGCTGTCACATATCAATTAATTATTATGTATTTAATGTTGTATTTAAAAGTTTTAATTTGTTGCTATCTTTCACAAAACCTAAATTATTATTAACTTATTTTGTTATTTTTATAACTTTAAATATATTTCTACATAATTATTAAATTTAACAATAATTATTTAAAAAGTTTATTTAAAATCTTTGTTTATTATTACAATTTAGTTATAAACGTGATCAAACGTGAACGTTAATTAAAAATAATAATGTTTATGATAAAATTATGTTTGTTAAATTTTAATTATTAATAATATTTAAATATTATGTTATTTTACACATTTATTTAATTTTGAATAAATAATAACTTACCTTTTTAACTTATTTTAAATAATTAATTATAGTGGCTCATAAAATTATTCGTTTTAAAGAATGGCTAATTATTGACAATTATCAAATAATCAAGCATTTTAGATGTAAAAATATCAAAAGTTATTTATTAATCACATATGTAACAATTATTATAATTCTCTACACAATTAAAGTTTAGACAATTAATTAGTTTTGCATTAAATCAAATTTTGAAGTGCATTAATTATCATTGTAAATGTACATTGCACATGTATGTGGGAGAATCAATCGACACCGTTATCACGACCGGAACATTATGGGCGCGGACAATATAATCACCATAACTATTCATTAATAAACTCTACATAAATTATTTATCAATGCATAATTCAAATTTATTGATTTGCATCATAAGACACTTGACAAAAGCAAAATGCTTGGATATAAAAATCAATACTACATTATTTTATTTTATTTTTTACTGTGACTTAAATAAATGCTTATTTATTTTATTTACATTCAAATAATATCCTTAAAATATTGAACACACAATCCATAGGACATAACCTGTGGATCAGTTGCAATGATTGAGCCCAAGACAGTCATACTATACGAGTGCTATATTTGCGACAAACGGTGCGCTAATAAACATGATTTGAAACATCACCATGAGAAACAGCACCCGGCGCCAGGTGCGTTCAAAATTGTGGACAAAATTGTGAAAGCGGTGGACAAAATTGAAGAACTAGATGATAAGCTGGAAGAGCTTGGTGATAAAATGGAGAACTTGGGCGACAATCTGGAAAACATCGGGGACAATCTAGAAAAAATTGGCGATGCAATCGGTGGTGACATTGGAGACACTATTGGGGACATTGGCGACGCTATCGGCGATATTGGCGATAATATTGGTAAAGTTGGTGACACTATTGGCCAAATCACTGATTTGGACAATATTGACCTTGGTAAAGCTGGTGAAAAGCTACAGGCGCTGACAGAGGGCTGTAATTGTTGCGATAGTTTAAAGCGCGTGTTTTGTTGCTTTAAGAGCTGTTTTGGTGACAACAATGATGGTAATAATGGTGATGATGGTAATAGTTGTGATTATGGTTGTAGTTGCGGTTGTTTTGGTGGTGACAATGACTGATGATAATAGTGGCAAGTGATTTGCCATTTACGTAATGTTTAGTGTAGCTAAGATATGGGTTATAATGAATTGTTTTAGCATATCTTTAATGTAAAGTGTCTATTGAGCTCTCTCTCTCTCTCTCTCTCTCTCTCTCTCTCTTTTTCTCTTTCTCTCTCTCTCTCTTAGTTATAGATTTATAATTTATAAATAATTTATTTAATCAAATTAAACAAATAATATGTATTAAAAAAATTAATAACTTAATTAATACAAGTATAAAATCAAATAAAATATATATTTTCATATTTTTAATTTCTGTAAATTTTGTAAATATAATTATATAAATTAAATTTTTGACTGAATAATCAATCTATTGATTAATCTAATAACAAAAAACATTAATGCCAACTTTGAGAATAATAAATATTATGATAAAAACGCATACATTATATCCACAAATGAAGTGGTAATTAACTGACGTCTACATTTATAGTTAATCAGTTTGAAATTACTTTCAATTATTATTATATTATATTATTTATTGCACAGGTATTGTGTGGACAATCAATCAATTCACAATTACCAAGGCCGGAACAGATAAAACCACCAATGTAACTTTACATATATATAAATTATCAATGCGTTCAACAACTATTGAGATGCAGAATATTTTTAGAGATAATTATAAAACAAAAGGCTTATAAAAATATACATTGGATAAAAAACATTAATACATTTATTTTATTTTTTGCTGTGATATATTGATAAATAAATGCAAATTTATTTTACGAGTTAGATTTAAAAAATATTAGCCACACATTTGAACACACAGTCCAACAGTGGATCAGTTAAGATGATTGAACCCCAGCCTGACTACGAGGATGACCACCACAAGACTGTGCACAGGTCTGAGCCCAAGCGTATGTCTGTCCGCAATGCAAACAACAAGACTGACCAAAATTCAGACCACATGACTGAGCACAGGTCTAACCCCACGCGCAGGTCTGTCCGCAATTCCGACTATAATGTGGAGCACAGGTCTGATCCCAAGCGGATGTCTGTCCGCAATTCAAACAACAAGACTGAGCACAGGTCTGACCACAATTCCGAGTACCTGATTGAGCAAAGGTCTGATCTCAAGCGTATGTCTGTCCGCAACTCAACCAACAAGACTGAGTACAGGTCTGACAACTATTCAGACCACACGACTGAGCACAGGTCCGACCCGACGCGTAGGTCTGTCCGCAATTCCGACTACAATACAGAGTACAGGTCTGATCCCAAGCGCATGTCTGTCCGCAATTCACACAACAAGACTGAGCACAGGTCTGATGCCAACCAACAACAGCTCAGGTCAGACCGCACTTCCGTCCGCAGGACAGAGAGTCAACGTTGGCATCAAACCAATGGCACACACGAGCCGACCCCTGTAATCGTCACTCAACCCGAGGTCAAATATGTGGTACTATACGAGTGTCATATTTGCGACAAACGGGTGACCAGTAAACCGGCGTTGCAGCAGCACCACGACCAAAAGCACCCGGCACAGCCAGCCCAGCCCAGTGCCAATCCCAACGCCCAGCCCAATGCCAACCCATTAAACATGGTGAACAAAATTGTGAAAGCTGGCAAAGATGCTTATGACAAAATTGAAGAGCTAGATGATAAGCTGGAAGAGTATGGCGATAAGCTAGAAGAGTATGGTGATAAACTGGAAAACATCGGGGACAATTTTGAGAAACTTGGCAACGCTATTGGCGGTGATTTGGGCGACGCTATCGGCGACATTGGCGACGCTATCGGCGATATTGGCGATACTATTGGCAATATTGGCGACAATATCGGTGAAATTGGCGACAAATTTAAAGAGATCACTGATTTAGACAATATTGACCTTGGTAAGGCCGGCGAACAGCTACAGGCGCTGGCTAAAAATGCTGGTGCATTAAAGCGCTTGTTTTGCTGCGGGAGTAGTGATGAAAAAGAGGGCAATGCTGGTGAAAAAGGTGATGATGAGGAAGAATAAGTGTGTAGTGGCTGTTGTTTTGATGTTGGTAATCACTTATAATAATAATGGCAAGTGTTTTGACATTTATATAATGTTAAGTGTAGTTAAGTTATTGGATATTATCAATTGATATAAAAAGAGTGTTATTTTGTAATAAACTACTTACTAAATAAATTGTAATTTAAAATTAATTTAAGATAAAATTTATACAAATTAATTTTATATAATAAAATATATTTTAAATAAGTTCTTAAATATAGCACTAAATTTTTCTGATTCAAAATACACGTTTGTTTTAGAATTACTGTTAACTAATAATACTTAAAACTGTAATAATGTTTGAAATTTTCACTTTTATATAACTTTCTAAATGATTGTATTATATATTGGAAAATGTCAAGTAGAACATTTAATTCGTGATTAAAATAATAGTTTAATTGAAAAAATGGACATTTGCATTTTTGAATGCAATATTTTTTTAAACAAAAAACAATTGATTTTAAAATTATTCGTTGTCTAAAGCGATAGGATTACGAAAAAATTATCTTGGTATTACATTATAATATAATATTATCATATTATGATTCATAAATATTATATCGTCCTATAAAAATGTATTTAAAAACTATTGTTTATTAGCAAGTTTAAATTTTTTAAATTATAAAACTTTGTCTGATAAGTTTATTGTTACATTATTCAAACTATAACGACAATTATTTTATAAATAATGTGGTTTATGTGGATGATGAAGATGTTAATACGTTTTTGATATTAAGTTATTATTATAAATTTTAATATATTCATAGTATAATTAAAATTTTATATAACAAAATATATTTTAGACCATCAGTTCTTAAGGATAGCACTAGTTTTTATGGTTCAAAATACGTGTTTGGTTTACAAACACAGTTAATTTATAACATTATAAACTGTAATAATGTTTAAAAAATTTTAATTAATGTAAATTCGGTAGATGTTTGTATAATATATGGGAAACAACAATTGTTATTTTATATTTTGATTAAAAATTTTATTTTAATATTCATTTGACAAGTACTTAATCTTTCAAAAAATTCTAAAAGTAATTTAAGGTAATATTCATATTATAATTAAAATTATATTAAATAAACTGTATTTTATTTAATCAGTTTTAAGAATACAGTACTAGTTTTTTATGGTTTAAAAATACTTTATTGTGTCAAAATCTGACAATATTTAAAACTGTAACCATGTTTAAAAATAGCAGATAAATGTAACTTCTCTAGATTATTGAATTATATATGGAAGGAACGGCTGTCAAGGATACTTTAAATTTTTTATTTCAAAAAATATTTTAATTGTTAAAATTTATATAAACTGATATAAACAACTTTTTATTAATCAATATAAAATAATATCATGTTCATCGAGTATAAAATCATATAAAATACAACAAGAGTAAATATGTACTCACAATAAAAAATAAAAACAAATATATAAAATAAACAAAAGCCTTATTTATAATTAATTACTAATTCATAGGATTATATTCAATAGATATGCAAAAATCACAAAACAAATGAGTCCAATGAGTCGTGTGAGTTGGCCCAGGCTTTTAGGGCCCCGGCGTTTAGGACTGTCCCGGTATTTGGTCTTAAGTGCGGACGATATGCGCTCGTCGACAGTCAGTATGGCATCCCTGGCTCCGGACCACGAGTGCGGACCTAATATACAAAATATTATTAATAAAAAAAACAAAATACATGCAAACATTATAAGGCAACTATACCTTCGAGCCGGTACTGGTAGGACAGTGACGGGCCAAACACCAGCGCCCGCCACAGCTCCGGGTCAGTGAAAAAGTATTTAAACAGTCGGGGTTTAACGCCCACCTGTTGGGCCAACTCGTCCATGAAGTCGAGCCAATCCACTTGAATGGTGTGTCTGTCAGACTCGTAAAACCTTTTCATGAACCGCCGTTTGGCGTCGATGTCGGCCCGCATGGCCTGACGGGTGGGCAGCGATTGTTTGCCGGCCATGAGTTGGGCAAACCAACGGCTCTCCATCTCCCCGATGGGCAACAGAGCGCCGATGGGTTGGGCCAGCGATATGAAGGCCAGTGTCTTGGGATGTGCCAACTCGGGCGCGAACACGTACTTATACAGCTCTACTTTATTGTTTTTGGTGGGTATCAGATCCTGGGATATGAATGGGAACGACACACTATACCCGGTGGCCAGTAGTACAACATCGCACGGGGTTTCCTCGGTTTCACCTGGTCAAATAAATTGTATACTTAATAAATACAATCGATATAGCTAATTTTTTAATGAAAACTAATTTTTTAACAAAATTTTCTTTATCGCGAGTTTTGCCAATATATAATACAAACATCTAGAAAGTTATATAAATGTGAAATTTTCAAACATTATTACAGTTTTAACCATTATCAGTAAACAGTAATAATCTATTAGGATATTTCAATAAATAACATAGTTTTAATAACCTATACTTATTAATTGTTAACTAAATCAATACTATCTATACATTACTTAACTTTACAATACTAATGATTATACATATCTAAAAAAACAACTAGCTTTAATCTAAAAATTTAAATCTTGCATAATTTACCAAATAATTTATATTATAAAAGTGATATACCTTTGAAAATAACGCCGTTGGCGGTGAACCGGTCGATATCGCCCTTAACAGCGACAGTGCCGGACAGTATACGGTTAGGGAGGGCGTCGTTGACCATAATGTGTTGCGATAGGAACCGGTGTTTGGGCTTTAACTGGTAGTCCCTGTGATCGAACCGGTTGTTTACGTACCACTCCATAAACCCACAGACTATAGAGTACGGCACTAACGACATGACAAGGTTTATGTAACGCCTAATGAAACTACTGTCAAATGGTTTGCCATTAGGGCCCACGCGGTATGATATCCAAGTGCCCGTCCGGGTTGATAAATAGACCTGGTATTGTATAATTATGATTATTTATTATTTGGAAATATATTATTGTAAATTAATAGTATACTTTTATTAATTACTTTTATTAATTACTTTTAATTACTTACTTTTATATCATTACTTTTAATTACTTTTATATAAGTAAAAATAACTATTATCAATCTTCATTAATAAATACTTGTATTAGTGCCTTATACAATTGTATTATATTTGTATTATAGAATTAATTATATAGTTAGATTAAAATAATCTATGGTAAATTAGAGTCAATTATGAACAATTATTTTAACATTAGTAGATATGGTGTAGTAAAGATAGTTTATACTTAAATGCAAAGTAAAGTAAATGCAAAATAAATGCTTTATATTTTTTTGCAAACATGTTTTAAAATATTTATTTATAAATAATAAATTCAAAGCATCACAATTTGTAGCACAGCTAAGGGCATAAGAGTCAGCCATACCTTGTCAGAAACGGTGGACAGTTCAACGGCGGCGTCCCCTCCAGAGTTGCCGATCCCCACCACTACTACCTTCTTGTCAGTGTACGGATCGGGCCGTTTGTATGAGTGGGTGTGCACTACCTGTCCATTGAATAGGTGCTGGTCTTTGAATGTGGGAGACATGGGCTGCACGTGATGTCCGGTGCAGACCATCACACCGTCAAACACATAGTCAGTAAGTTTGCCGCCGTTGTTGTTGTCCCGAGCGGTCAGTTTCCACCGCCCGGTGCTCTCGTAGTCGGCGTTCGGCTCCAAAGCGATCACTTCGTGGCGAAACTTTACGTACTTCTCGTAACCAAATGTCTCGCCGTATAAATCAAAGTATTTTACCTAAAAAATTATTAATAGTAAACAATTTTTAATAAACAATTTTAAATAAAATTAGTTTACAAATTATGTCTAACAAAATATTTTACAAACTTTTAACAAATACATGCAATAAATTAAGAGAAACGGTGGATACCGGGTCTGTCTGACTGCTATCGACTTGTCAACAGTCGGTGCGATTCTCGGCTAATTTCATAACAAACTTCATTAGGGATTGTATTCATTGAAGTTTATTAGGATATTAGCCGACAATCGCACCGACTGTTGACAAGTCGACAGCAGTCAGACAGACCGATGGCCACCGTTTCTCTAATATATTGTACATATATTTACGTTATATTTAAGTAATATTTTTATTTTATATTTATTCACAGTTTTTTAAATAATTTCAAATCTCTCTCTCTCTCTCTCTCAATATGAAAACAATTTATGAAAAATATATTACTAGAAATATATAACTTTATTTATTAGTAAATATATTAATTATATATATATTGTGGGCCAGAAATCTATTGTTTTTAATGTTTTAATACAAAACACAATTAAACGTAACATAAATAACATTCATGTGTTTTAAACACAAATATACTATTTTAACAAATATATTATATTTTTATAATATTATTTTTACTTTGTGATTTTAAAAATGATATTACATTCATAATATTCGTGATATTTTTACATAGATTTAAATAGAAAATAAGTTTATTGAACTGATGTTTAAACGTATAATTAATGCTAATGTTATATTTATAAACAAATGCGGAATATATTAAATAATCGTTATAATCTATAAACTGTTTAATAAGTTATTATAAAAAACAATATTATTTTAAATTATCATTAAATCATTAATAGATTAAATGTAAAATTAATATCTATCATAAAAATTATATACTATTGATATATTTAATTTTTTATAAAATATTAATTTTTAGAGAGAGAGAGAGAGAGAGAGAGATGCAAAACCATACGGATCGGTATCATAGGCGGGGGTGCGTCGGGCGCCACGGCCTGTAAGGCGTGTCTGGAGGAGGGCTTTGAGCCCCTGGTGTTGGAGAAGAGCTCATA